TTTTATGTAATAGAACCTAATGATTCGGTTTCAATTAACACTGTTATCGAATCGCGGGACGCAATTTTTGATGAGATGAGGTTTTCATCGATTCAAAGGCCTAAGGATCTGAATTTTGATGCTAATAAAGAGCAAAATTCAGAAATTCAAGATGGTGGTGTCGTGCAAGAACCACAAGATATTCGTAGAAGCAAAAGAGGCCAAATTGGTAAGAATTTTGGATCCGACTTCCAACTATACTTGGTGGAAGGTTCAAGGGATGAAATTAATCTTGAATACTCTTATTGCTATAGTATTGAAGATGATCCTAAGACTTATAAAGAGGCCATGGAGTCTTGTGATAGTGCCTCTTGGAAGGAAGCAATTGATGATGAAATGTCATTAATTCTTGAGAACAATACATGGGTGTTGTCTGATTTGCCTCCGGGTTCTAAACCTCTTGGTTGCAAATGGATTTTCAAAAAGAAAATGAATGTTAATGGGACCATTGACAAATTCAAAGCCCGGTTAGTCATTCAAGGTTTTAGACAAAAAGTCGGTATTGACTATTTTGATACGTATGCTCCAGTTGCACGTATTTCTACTATTAGATTGTTGGTTGCCTTGGAAAGTATCCACAATCTGGTTATTCACCAAATGGATGTGAAAACAGCCTTTTTAAATGGTAATCTTGACAAGGAAGTTTACATGAAACAACCAGAAGGTTTCATTATGCCCGGTAAAGAGCATATGGTTTGTAAACTTGTCAAATCTTTGTATGGGTTGAAACAAGCACCTAAACAATGGCATCAAAAATTTGATGAGTTGATTTTGTCTTTTGGTTTCAAAACAAACCAATGTGAGAAATGTGTTTATAGTAGATTTGATGATGCTACTAGAGCTGGAGTGATCATTTGCTTATATGTAGATGACATGTTGATTTTTGGCACCAACCAAAATCAAGTGGATGAAACAAATAAATTGTTGTCATCCAAGTTTTCCATGAAAGATTTAGGAGAGGCTGATGTAATTCTTGGAATAAGAATTAAGAGGATGAACAAAGGATTGGTAATGTCTCAAAATCATTATATTGAGAAAATTCTCAAATGGTTTAATTTTACCGATTGTTCTCCTGTGAGTACTCCTATGGACCCAAGTGTGAAATTAATGCCAAATAATGGTATTCCCGTTTCACAGTTGGAATACTCTAAGGCTATTGGTAGCTTGATGTATGCCATGACAAGTACCAGACCTGATATTGCATTTGCTGTGGGTAAGTTAGGCAGGTACACTAGCAATCCTAGTGCTCAACATTGGCAAGCAGTGAATAGAGTGTTTAAGTATCTCAAGGGAACCATGAATTATGGTTTGAGTTACTTGAAGAGTCCTTCGATTTTAGAAGGTCATTCAGATGCAAGTTGGATTACCAACATGGAGGACCATTCCTCAACTTCTGGTTGGGTATTCTTGCTTGGGGGAGGTGCCATTTCTTGGGCTTCCAAGAAGCAATCTTGCATTACAAACTCGACAATGGAATCTGAGTTTGTTGAATTAGCAGCTGCTGGTAAAGAAGCAGAGTGGCTAAGGAATTTAGTCTATGAGATTCCTTTGTGGTCTAAACCAATAGCACCTATTTCTATCCTTTGTGATAGTGCTGCCGCTTTAGCTAAGGCATATAGCCATGTTTATAATGGAAAGTCTAGACACCTAAGTGTTAGACATAGTATGATTAGAGAAATAATCATGAATGGTGTGATTTCGGTTGAGTTTGTGAAATCGCAACATAATTTGGCAGATCACTTGACTAAAGGTTTGATAAGAGACTTAGTGCACAAGTCTGTAATCAGGATGGGATTAAAGTCCATTTAATTCTATAATGATGAGACACACAATTCCCTCCTAATATAATGTTAGGAGTTGAATTCAATGTGGAAAGCTCATACTTATAGATTGGAACACATGAAGTATTCATCCCAGGTATGTGTTCGGTTCTGCAAGTTAGCTAGGTTGAAGTTTAACTTCTTAATAATTTGTTTGATAAATGTATGTGCATATAAATGGAAAGGAGTTACCTACGTGATTGTGAAGTGTAGCCGCATTTCAAGAGGTTGTGGACTTGACCTTGATACGTTCATGAGAGGATTGAGACACACGACTTTATAATAGTGTCAAGTTGTATTATGCTAGAAATTCAATAAACTAGTATGTATTTTACTTTCTGGTATTCAAATGGGTTGACGGGTTCAATTCTTAGAACACCCTGATTCTCGAGTATTTGCAATTGTATGATACTAAGTGGACATTCAATTGTTTCGATATTTTCATTATGTACTAGTTTAGTTTGTTGTTGATAAGGTTATGTTTGTTCAAGGGTTACACTAAAATGGGGGAGGATTTGTTGGTGATTTTAGTGTCACCATGTCATTTTAAGTAACTGGAACTAACATGTGAGTTAAGGGGCTTCATGATTTGTACTCTAATACATGTGTGGGGTTGTGCGGAGTGCACGCATGTATAAGATCGAGTCAGAAGCCGATTTGACGACTAGTCGGGGGTCCGGGGTTTCCAAAGGGGCAGCGCCCCAAAACCTCACCAAATTTTGCATGTGAGAACTTAATGGAAAACTCAATTTCTTGAGGGTGATTATGGTAAAACTAACAAAACTCGTTAGTTTTAGTAACCCTAATCCAGATTAATATTACTGGCTTCCAATGCAACTAATGACGGCCCAACCCTAATGAAACCCTAATCGTGTTTAGTATATAAACAACTCTTCTTTTCATAAGGGGGTTACGTTCTTTAGCTCTCGTTTTTCATCACACATTCACAAAACCCTTTAGCATAATAGCTTACGTTTTCTGTGTCTAGAAACGTAAGTGTCCGCTTGGATTATCCTAGGCTGAATTTCTTGTAACCTAGGCATAGGGCAGAAATATTAGTTCGGAAAGTGATATCACGATCCAAGCTGGTATCCAGATCTCCACTGCAAACCCTAATATTCCCAACATGTAGCTCCACATGCAGGAGGATGTTAGCATGGACTTTGTATTGGGTTTACCTCGTACACAACGAAAAAAAGACTCGATTATGGTTGTTGTTGATCGTTTTTCAAAGATGATGCATTTCCTAGCGTGTGTCACAACTTATGATGCAAGACAAGTGACACAATTATATTCTGTAGAGATTGTGAGACTTCATGGAATCCCAAAGACGATCACGTCAGATCGTGATGTCAAATTTGTCGGTCCTTTTTGGCGCACTCTATGGAGATCGTTGGGTTCGAAACTACACTTTATCAGCTTACACCATCCCCAAATTGATGGGTAAACGGAAGTGGTAAATCGCAGCTTAGGGAATTTACTTCGTACACTTGTGGGGGAACAACCTAACAATGGGATCTTATTTTACTACATGCTGGATTTGCGTATAACCGTTCAGTAAACTGTACAATAGGTATGTCTCCGTTTCACATTGTTTACAGTCGTGATCCTATAACTCTCATCGACCTTTCCTCGATACCTCATGATAGGGTTGTTAGTAGTAATGGGATAGATCACTCCCAATATATTAAAGAGCTGCATCAACGAGTACGTGACAATATCATTAAACACAACAAGTGTTATCAAGTTCAAGCCAACAAACATGCGTAAACGGGTCGTGTACAAGGCAGGCGATCTTGTGTGGATTCAATTACGTCCAGAGCGAGTCCCGAGAGGCGGTTTCAACAAGTTACAACCTCGTGCAAATGGTCCTTTTCGCATACTTCAACGTATTAATGATAATGCCTATAAGATAGAGCTTTTGGGTCACTATAATGTTTCTGCTACTTTTAATGTTATTGACTTTTCACCATATGAGTCGACCAATGACGAGGAGGTGGACTTGGAGTCTATTCCTTTTTAAGCCGAGGAGGATGATGCACATGCATGGGCAACTCACGTTGGTTATTTTGGGTAATATCTCACATTTTAATAAATTGATTATTATTTTTAGATTGGTTTATTTCAGATTTTAAAGACCCATTATATATTTAGGGATTAGGCTTTATCTTATTATTATTATTATTATTATTATTATTATTATTATTATTATTATTATTTTTATAATGTCATTTGGTTAAGTTAGATTTATGGGCTCTTCATCATAAGTATCTTATTTTCTATTTGTTTGGAGGTGATTTTTTGATGAATTAAATGAACGCAACCAAGAAACTCTCTTCTGTTTGCATTTGTGAGCTTTGACCATATGAGTATTGTATGCATCAGAGAAGTTGATGACACAAAGTTATTTATAGGTGCACAAGACAGATCGATTTTGCTCACCAAAAGTTGAAATCGGTTTAAGTCAAGATCGGATAGATTCCAAATAAGTTTCTAAGCAAAAAGATCGAAACTTGTATGAAGTTAGGAATCGGTTAGGATTGATTTGAAACCGGTTCGTGTGAACCTATTTTTCTGCTAGACTTTAAACTTAATGTTTGAATTTAATGTAATATAAATGGTTGATCAGAAACAAAAAAATACCTAAAACCCATGGCAATGCCATGATCTTAAGTACTTTCCGGGCATTTGGGACCATTTAAAGGATTCAAACAATATTCTACAGGCATCTGGGTTTATAAAAGAGGTGAAAATCGGTATTGAGAAATCTCTAAAACCTTGTATAACAACAAATTGAAAAAATAATGGACAAAAACCATACTTTGTTATTATATGAAAATCAGTTTGTTATAGATTCGAAAGCTAATTTGTAAACTGTATTTTCAAACCAGTTTCACCCAAATCGGTTTCATTTCTATAATCCAAAAACCGACATAAATCGACATATAAGTTTTAAATCGAACGCATTTCACCCAAACCATTGATTTCGGTTTCAAACCGATTCCAAATCATGAACCGTTTTTTTTCCCATCGTTGTTGGACTCCATAAGGAAGTCCAACTAACACAAAGTTATTATGTTATTGGAGACTTGGGCCTTGGAGTTTGGACGATCAGCCAATTGGACTATAATTTGGGCCACAGTCCGGTCCATAGGCATGAAAACCGACTCCGAAGTCCAAGCAACCCTCCAACATTGTGGAGAGCAGAACTTTCCTCCGATAGGTTTTCGCTGAAACTGAACGTTTGTGTGATTTCAATGGGGACTCGAGAGGTGTATGAAGAGAAGCTACGAACGGGGAATCTGTATCACGAGCCCACCATCAATCCTGGCCTCGGTACTCCCCGCTGCCCTCGTTGTCTCTCCCTCCTCGACTCAGACTCGGTGCGTTCGGTTGATTCATCGTCTTCTTAATCTCATCCCACTTTCATTATTTTATTCAATTTCATCATGTAGTTTTCTTTCTATCCTTTGAATTTGAGCTGATTCATGGTTTATACACATGCTATGCTTTCATTGATGCAGGACAAAGGTGAATGGACCATCACTCCAGTGTTACATGATGCCACGGCTGTGGTAATACATATCACCTCTACGTTGCTCCAATTTCTCAAATTTAATATGTGAATCATTTCTATTTAATCCATACATACTCGTTGTTTATTGATTTTCAATTACGAAATTGAGATCCTGAGAAGTTCTGGTTGTTGAACACATTTTAGGTTTTGATTATACATACCAGATTTGGTTCTTATATCAAACAACCTAGATTCAAGCTTATATGCAACATGTGATATTTTCATTTCATCCGATTGCCTTATTTAGGCGTTAGGGTTTACATACAAACTTTTTGAAATTGAGTTGCAGTTTGCTGTATCCTAACAAACTTCTCCTGATAGGAATGATGGATTTTCAGAAATGAACAAATTTACCAGTTATGATGGAAACATTTAGTTCTAAATGACAAATGATAATTGAAATATTGACCAGTTATTGCATTGTTTATTTGTTATAACTTACAAATTGCTCTACTCTAAAACCTAATGGGAGTTAAAAAGTTATTTATTATTATCATTATATATCAATAGTTCTCATGAAATTACTATTTAGTTATTACATATATAACTGATAACATATGTTCTGGATTTGATAGGCTGGCTGTGGTTTAGGTGGAATGCTCAGTGCTTTTTATGGTCTGAATACAGGTATATAATATTTTATACATTTTATGAAGATTGACTTAATTTATACGCACACTGAAACATTATTTTATCACAGGAATGCCTTATCTCCAAAAACATGTCAAAGGGCCAAAGTGGCTTCCATTCGTTATAGGGGTATTTCTACGAATTAAATATTTTCCCTTTTTTAATGAAAATGTCTTATGAGTCAACTCATTTTAAAATTTTCACAAGTCTCTTATTTCCACAGGTTCCTCCATTGTTAATGTTTTCTGCTGCAAGTGCTGCATTAGGAGGTATGTAATCAGTTCTCAAATTTAAAAAAAAAAACTTTTTGTTTTGTGTGATGGAATGGAATTGGCCATTCCTGAAGGAATGTGATTCCATTCCATTCCATTTCATGATTCCATCCAACCAAGTTGGCTGATCTATCATATTTATTTAATATGATAGGATATGGGCTTCCAAATTTCACACAGCTGAGTGTGACATCATATTATGCTGCATCAAGTGCTTCTCATTATGGGATTTCATTAATTACAAGATACATTGAAGACACTTATATGACACGTTCACAAAAACAAAGGCTTCGGTGAGTTCAGCCTTTCTTTTGTAAAACATGATCTGTTTTGGCCCTTGTAGTGTAGATATATGTATGATATTGTTTTTGAACTAGAATTATAATGATTCTAAAATGATTGAATAATGGAACTGAAATGCAAATATATGTTAAATGTATGAAGTATTTTACATGTTTGATTATTTGGAAAATTAAGCCTAAAATTAGTTAACCTACCCGAAAAAGCCCAGATTTTCGTTTAGAAAGTTGTTTTTGTTTTATGAAAAAAATGACCATGTAGTTGCATCTAGCTGTTAGGACCCCAAAATGACCATTTTACCCCTCTAGAGTCGGTTTAACTAGTTTTATTTGTTTCTAGATAAAACTGCAAAAATTCCATACACCGAAACACCCTTGAGTAAACCAACGTAATCATTGCCAGTACTCCATGATCTTGGACCTCTGAAAAACCTTTTCCACTTTTCATAGTCGTCCCTTTCATTTTCTTTTGAACGGTGATTATCTCATTAATCATGGCAAAGATATAGGAGCAAGACAGAGGAGGGAATCACATTTTAATCTTTCTAAAAACCCTTTTCAAAGGTAAGAGAGAACAAGAATGGTTGTAGGAGAAGGTGTGTTAAAAGAATTCGCCATTGCAGATATGGAATGATTCCCAAAGTGGTATCCAATCAACGTTAAATAGAGAAGATCAGAATTTTTGATACCGGTGTTTGGCCATGGAGCAAGAACTTTGACGACACCGGAATGGAAGCAGTCCCTAGCGTGTCGATAAATGTCGGAGATGAAGTGGATTTGCTAGAATATGATTTCTTGTGACTTTCTGTATGAATTGTGGTGGTGGTATATCTGAGAGTTTAGGGGAGGTGACCAGAGATAAGTAACGAGATGACAAAGATAGAGATGGCAGAGCATAGCTGGGTGGTGATGGGTTGGTTAAAGGTAGTGATGGTGGCGGCGAACGGTGGTGACTGAGTGGTGGTTTGAGACATTAGTTATTGAGTAAGGTGTTTTTGATTTGAAGAAGATGGGGTGATTTGACCCGAAAGGAATTGCAAATGAAAGAAGAATCTATGTGCTGCCTAATGGTCCCCACTTCCCATATTAATTATTAATAAAACATTAAATTAAATAGAAAATATAAAAAATGTATCATGAGGGCATTTTAGTCTTTTCAAATTTTTAGGGGACCAAAACCACAAACAACGCAGCTCAAAATGACCACGAAACTAAAAAAATTGAGGTTTAGACTAAACCTAAGAAAAAAAATGCTTACCATAATGACCATTTTTGCAGTTTGTCTTGGTTTTAATACTGTAAAAAGCGCTCACTATATGAATATCGATGTATTAAAAGTTAAACCAAATACCCGAAACTTGACTATTTGGTGTAGTTATTATTATTAAATATGAACAAGGGAGAAAAAAGGCTTGTTGCAAGAAATGTGGCAAGTTGTATAACTTTACGAAAACTCGACCTTAAATATCATGCTTGCAAAGTGGTCAAACATGACAATTTCGGTTCGGTGTGAACTAATACCAAAGTGGATGGTGTTTTGTTTGTTTACCACAATGATGTGGAATGAGAAGCGTTTGTGAAGTTTGGCATATAAGAAGCACTTCCATTTGACCACTTCGACAATTCATGACTTACATAAATTGTTCGAACGAGAAGCAAGAAAAGAAATAATTTTAGTATTTGAAAATTATAATTATGAAGTTTGTTTAACATGTAGCGCTTGGATCACTCATGAAAATGCGAATTCTTACCTAGCTGCTACGGTAAATTGGTTCCACCTGTAAATGTGCTTAATCATAAAACGAATCATTGCTTCAATTGTTTGAATAAGAACAATATAGTAATTTGAACGTCTTGTTTGGTCATGTTCTAAGTTTGTCAAATGCATTTTAGACAAAGTGTTCTTGTTCTATTATGGTTATTCCAAATACTATGCAAACCATTAGTCTTGTCCTTGTTCTATTATGCCTTTGTTTTGCTAAATACTACTAACAATTAGCCTCTTTCAGATACATTCAATCATGTTTAATGCAGGTCGTCTAGCAAATACTACTTTAATTCTGGACAAATTTTTAACAACGATATTATTTTTAGAAAACAAGCTTATCTATATTGTCTTCAAATTCACTAACAAAGAAACTTCACATCATCAAAAGACCATGGACTATTGTTTTATGATTTTTGCAAGTATTATGCCAACTTTCTATAGTTTTGGTATAAGTTTAAAATTTTGTTACAAATTTGGTCATCTAGAAATAAACATCCACGTCAAGTAACTATGCGACATTGAATTTAAAAATCATTAGAATTTGGTTCGGTGTAAAGATAAGGAACCATAATTTCATAATCTAGCCGCTATGACCCGTGATTTACTAATCGTCAAAGCTTCTACAGTAGTTTTAAAACCCACTTTTTTTCTCTTAGTGAGAGGGATAATATCATAACGAAGGTCACAACTGATTTGTTAATCGATAGGAGTATGCATCTTGTTTGAAGGATTACTTGGATGATGTTGAAAGGATAAAAAGTTGTATTTCGCTTAAGGTCCACTTCTACCACGAGATTTATTCATGAAGAAGTAGTTGTACACGTGATATCATCTCCAACGACTTAAATAGATGATGGTGAGATTAAGTACGATACTGTATAGGAATAGTCCTTATTGTTTTTCTCTTGTAATATTGGTCATTCAATTTGTTGTTTTGTACACATTCAGTTCTTATGATCGACTACTTCAAGTTAAGTTGTAGTCCTTATTATTATTTTTTTTTTGTTACAAAATAAGTCATTGCTATTTTTGTACATATTCAGTCCTTATAATAGATTTTCTTTAGATTTTGCTCATGTGACATCATACGTGGGACAAACATTAATGATGTGTTCTTCCCTAATTCCTTGGTACGCGATTTTGATAATTTTTCAGTAAATGAGTTTTTTGTTATTTTCATATTGACTCTGAATTAAAAGATGAGCTTATAATTGTTAAAGAGAGTTTTTTTTGTCTCAACAACTAATAAATTAGCAAATTAGACTCAAATAAATTCTCATGTCAATAATTGTTTTAATCTTTCCTTGTGTGTAACCCAAAATAACTATGTTATTTACAGTAATATTACCAACTGTTATGAATGTGGATACTATTAACAATTGAAATCATTATAGAAAATGCATTTTTTCACATGATGTAATGTAATTGTTATTGATATTGAATGAAGTTTGTATTAGTACGAAATATAGTTGGTATTATACTATAATAGTTACTAATATCTAAAGTAGAATGCTATTACCAAAACCAAGACAAGTAACATGTGATTTCACTACCCAAACGAGCAAAGAATGAGAACACTTCATTAACGATTTTTCCCACGTAGAATGTCATATAAGCACAACCTGAAGAAATCCATCATATAGACTAAATGTATACAAAAGCAACAATCACTTTTTTGTAGAAAAACATTAATGACTGGATGTGAAGAAAACCATAAGTTTAAGGGCTTATTTTACAAAAAAAAAAAAAAAAACAATAAAAACTAAAGGTGAAATAAAAACCATATTACCATTTTAGATAGTTTTCCTTTTTTAGATTAAAGAAAGTCCAATTAGATGACGATGTCAATTCAGCCAACTGAAAATAATTGTATTTTTAAATTTTAATTTCTAGTTATATGTTATTGAATATTACCATTGTTTTCTATTTTCTATTTTTGGATATTCAAAAATAAATACGAGCCAAAATTCTCATAACTTATTAAGGATATCTGGATAGGATAAATCTCATACGTTAGATTTGAATCATACCTAAAAAAATTAAATTTGGGACCTAGTTTTATCTAGAAAAAATCTTATAATTTCCATCCATATGGCATACCTCCACTTCGGTGTTTGTAATTAGGGTTGTATGGCATACCTCCACTTCGGTTCACTTACTCTAAAAGAGGAAAGAATGACAAGTCATCAACAAGAGTGTGAATCTTTTAGTGGAAGGGAAATTCCACCATTTTACAATCTAAATCTATTTATTGATTTAAGGGTATTTATCGTTTTCTTTAGATCACTATACATGATAACAATGCAGAAGGGATGGACCTTAATGAATCTTTCCAAGTTGCATCAATGGTTGAAAAGCTTCTTCCCGGTTGGATAGACTTCAAAAACTACCTTAAGCATAAGCGAAAGGAGATGTTTGTGGAGGAACTGGTGGTGCGTCTTCACATTGAAGTAGACAATCGAATGGCTTTGAAGAAAGGCAACGAATTTGAATCTTCTAAGGTTCATATGGTGGAAGCTGGTCAAACTTCCAAGAGCAAAAGCAAGGGACCTCACAAAGGGAAAGCAAAGGTCAAAAACTTAGGCCCTAAGGCAGGAACTTTCAAGAAGAAGTTATAGTGCTATAATTGTGGCCAACCGGGTCACAAGGTTTCGGAGTGCCTGCAAGCTAAGCAGGAAAATTGTCAAGAAAACATGGTGAATGATAACATGAAGTTGGTAGCCATGATAATTGATCTCATAGCTATGGTCTCGGAGGTGAATCTCATGAATACAAATTCAAAGAAGTGGTGGATTGACATGGGGGCTACTCTTCATGTGTGTCATGATAAGAGTGTTTTCAACACCTAAAAGGAAGTTGAAGATGGTGAAAATCTCTATATAGGAAATGCAGCTACCGCGGATATCAAAGGCATTGGTGATGTCATTCTAAAAATGAAATTGGGAAATGATGTGAAACTTAGGGTTGTTTTGTATGTTCCTAAACTTCGTAAGAATCTAGTGTCAGGTGGTTTGTTGAATCGGTTTGGTTTTAAGCTTGTGTTTGAGTCAGACAAGTTTGTTTTTTCCAAGAATAGTATGTTTGTGGGGAAAGGATATGCCTTGAATGGCATGTTCAAATTGAATGTGATGGTGACAAACAAAATGAATAAAGCAAGTTCCAGTTCTTCTTATTTTCTTGTGTGTTAAAATGTTTGGCATGGTTTCTTAGGGCATGTAAATTACAATTCTTTTAAATGATTAATTAAACTAGACTACATACCAAAACTTAATATTGACTCAAATCACAAATGTCCCACATATGTTGAAGCCAAACAAATTAGATTATATTTCCAAACAATCAAAAGAAACACCAAACCTCTTGATTTAATTCACACCGATGTGTGTGATTTAAAGTCAACTCTCACTCAAGGTGGGAACAAATACTTCATTACGTTCATCGATGATATCATGAAATATTGTTACATATATTTACTTAAGAGTAAAGATGAAACAATAGACAGGTTTCTCTTGTACAAAAATGAAGTAGAGAATTAACTCACCAAGAGAATTAAAGTAGTTAGAAGTGATAGTGGTGGAGAATATGTTTCTCCTTATGCTGAATTCTGTGTGAAAAATGGAATTCGTTGAATTCACATCACCCTATTCACCTCAATCCAATGGAATTGCTGAAAGAAAGAACCATACCTTGAAAGAAATGGTTAACGACATGATAATCAGTTCAGGTGTAAATCAGTCAATGTGGGGGGAAGCTATTTTGTCGGCTAACTATCTTCTAAATAAGATACCTCGCAAAGAAAAGGATTAAACATCGTATGAACTTTGATTGGGAAGAAAGTCATCGTATAAATACTTACGAGTGTGGGGGTGCCAAGCTAAATTTGTTATACCACCGCCTAAGGTACACAAGTTAGGTCCTTAAACTATGGATTGTATGTTTATTGGGTATGCACAAAGTAGTAGTGCTTATCGTTTTCTTGTGCATGATTCTAAGAATCCTGAAATACATAAGAATACCATAATGGAATCAAGGAATACGTCATTCTTTGAAGATGTATTTCCTTGTTTGACCAAGGAGGTTGAAAACCCATCTTTACCAAACAATGAAGTTGTTCGAGAGGAAGAACAAACTCAACCCGAGGAAAAAGAGATACAACTCAGAAAAAGTAAGAGGGATAAAGTTGAAAAATCATTTGGTGACGATTTTTACACCTATGTGGTGGAAAGTGGACCTAAAACCTACCAAGAGGCGGTTACTTCTTCCGAGGGACCTCAATGGAAAGAAGCCATAAAAATGAGGTAGACTCTATTTTACAAAATCATACGTGGGAACTAGTGGATCTACCTCCAGGTAGCAAGCCACTTGGTTACCGTTGGATTTTTAAGAGAAAGATGAAACCTAATGGTAGTATTGATAAATACAAGGCAAGACTCTCTTTTCCAGTGCAACTTCAAACAACCATAACTTCTTCATTTCAACTCTTTTTCGGCGTTGTTTATATGTACGGAAAGGTATTGAAGATACCTACAATCCTATCTAATTACTTTAAACTCAAAACATATCGAACTAAAATCCTTATTCCAAGAAAGAAGTCTAAAACATCACTTTCCCCGCTTTACCCTTTGACTCCAAAACACAAACCAAGGGCTTGGATCTCATAACCAATATTATCAACATCCAATAGGGTCTAAATCATATTCCATTGAAGCCTAAGGCCTTTAATTGATCCATTTATTGTCCACAATCCCGAAACAAGAAACTTCTCGAAACACGATGGTACACAATTGGTATCAAAGTCAAGTTTAGAAGCTTGGTTAGATTATTTGATAAGTTGATATTATCTTTGTTGATCGGTGGATATCTTCCAGAAGCAGGTATGTTCGGTTCCATAACAAGTCTAATACGGAGGAGGTTCGAACTCTAGATATCCATATGAACTTATCTGATAAGGACACACATGTCAAGATGGATGAAGGGATGCAGAACAACGAATCATCTGTCATTTATGCCATTGAAACTTCAACCATCAACACTTCCACCATCAATGTAACACCCCAAAATTTTCAAACTTTAAAATGCTATGGTTTTAAAAGTGTTCGGGTGTTAACCCACATTTAACAAAAATCGGTCCCATAATAACATTTACAAGTTTAAAACAATGGGTGTTACCATTAAGCATCAATACAACCATAGCAAGCAAACAAGAATTACATCAATACAATTAATAAGGAACGTAACAAGTTCCACTCGATTCTCTATCACTTACTTCTAACTTCCATCTATCATTCTCTATCCTTAAATGTAACCTGAGATACATGGCATTAAAAAGAGATATGTAAGACAATAATGTCTCGTGAGCTACGTTGGTTTGAGACCCAAAACATTTATCATATTTTCATCAAAAACGTTTCATCTTTGCAAAACAAAGTTTTAGACCATAAAACATTTTCAAGCAGTTTCAAGGAAAACTCATTTCATACATGTCATAAATATCATTTAATATCTTCTCATTTCATTTCCTTTCATTTCATTTCAATAGCCATATTTCCATATTTCAATTTCTTTTATCATTAAGGCTAATTCTGGTATTATACTGTTTCCATTTTTATACTTAGGGTCTACGTCCAATAAAGGAACCACTCCCAAGTCTAGACCAAGGTGGAAAGAACAAATCAATCCACCAAGGCATCATTTTCATTAGGACATCTATCTCGCGAAGGGGAGGCGCCACCCCGATAGTTTCCTCTAATGCCTCTTACGAGGTATTATGGCCCGGACAGTTTTCATTTCATTTCTTCCCAATTCCTTTCATTACTTTTCATGCTTTTTCATTACTTTACAATTCTTTTCATTACTTTCCATGCTTTACACATTTCATACATTAGTATCATAAAATTATTTAAAAAGTAAAGCATCTAT